GGCGGGCACAAGACGTGAACTCTAAGCCAGCCAGGGTAAAACACTGAAAATCTCTTTTCTTAGTGTCGAGTCTCCAAAAGAAAAAAATAAATGTTTCCTATAAGTTGTTTGTCTAAAAAAAAAAAAACCAAAACAAAACAAAAAAACACCGCCAACAACATATGGTTATGAGCTCACTGTTGCTGAGGGAAAAAACAATAAGGCGATTCAAAAATAACTGCACACTTTAAACAAATTAATTACACCGTACGACTTTTTCTTGGGGGCACACGGCAAGAACCCATGTTCATACCACTTCTTCCCATTGCCTGGAGGGAAGAAAGCGGTTGTCACATGACAGTTGCCATTGAGACCCCTGGTGGCAATTCACAAAAGGGGACTCTGAAAAATTAGACGATGGACCAGTATGCCCTGTGGATCTCAGAGCTGCAAACGGAAATAACTGTGATCTTTCCTTTACAAATTGGTTTGATTATATGTGACCCAGTTACTGACTGTTACGTTTTTGTAATTGTTCAATACTTTTTGAATCGCTCTGGGCATAAATAGTCACAGGTTTTTTAAAATAAACTTTTTATTGAGGTTTTCTTTTTAGACATATTTTCCAAAGTCCTTTCATGAAAAAGGATTTATTGTGTAAAATAATAATAATAACAGAAGCTTCAGAACAGTGTAGGCCTCCTAAATAAAATACCAGCAAATCAAATCTGATGATCTCTAAAAATACATCATATCATGACTAAGTGGAATTTTTCCTAGGAATGCAAGGGCGGCTTAGCATTCAAAAATGAGCGTAATTCATCATATTATCAACAAAAAAGGGAAAAGAATCATATGAGCATCTCGATAGATACGTGAATTCATGAGTTTTTTAAACAACTAACTTTTAGCAAGCTAGAAAACAAGAAAGATCTCTGAATCTGATCAAATGTATTTACAAACACCTATAGCAAACATCCTCACTAATGTTAAATTTTTGAAAGCTTTCCCCAAAGACCAAAAGGGAAACATTCGAGAAGGCTCACCTTCACTACTCTCATGCGACATTGCACGGGAGGACCCAACCTCCAGGAAGCAGGAACGAGAACAATTGGCAGAAGGACAGGAAAGGAAGAAAGAAAATGTAGGCGATCCAAATGAATCAAAGATGGACTCTCAAATTTAAAACGAACTTAGCAGGATCATAAATATACATAATGAATAAACAAAACCGACTGAATTTCTATCAGCCAGAAATAAGTGGAAAATATAATTTTAAAATTACTATTGATAATAACATCAAAAACATCGACTGTGTAAGAATAAATCTATCCAAAGATGTGAAAAACCTTTTATCTGAAAGCAATACATTATAGAGAAAAAAATGATGCCACCTAAATCGATAAAATAGAAAGATATACCATTTTCATGGATTGGAACACTCAACATTATAAAGATGCCAATTCTCCCCCAAATTAACCTGCAGATTCAACGCATTCCCAATCAAAATCCCGGCATGTGTGTCTATATGCAGACATGTGCAAGTTGGCTCTAAACTTTATATAAAAATGCGGATAGCCTAAAGTAGTCGAGACCTTCTTGAAAAAGCAGCGATGGCCATCACCTCCGAAGATTAGGTTATAAAAAGCCTGGGGCTTTCGTCTCGGGCTCGCCCTCTCCCTGCCTCCTGGAAAGCTCACCCTGAGGGAAGTCACCAACCACGTTGCCAGGCAGCCAAGGTCCACATGGTGAGGGGTCTGAGCTGCCAAACCAAATGGGTGAGCGTGGACGTGGGTCACCCCCAGCCAAGCCTTCAGATGAAACTGCAGCCCTGGCCAGCAGCTGAGGATTATCCCAGTTTGCCTGAGTCTGAGCGGTTTCCCAGCACAGGGGACTTTCAGCGCTATATCTGGGACATTCCTGGGCAAACTGGGATGGTTGGTCACCCTACTGAGGACTTGATGGCATCCTAATGAGAGACTTTGAGCCAAGGCACCCAGCCGAGATGCACCCAAAGCCCTGCCGTTGGCTCTCGTCGGCTGTCATTTCAAAAGAACTCAGGGTGCAGCAATAGATAACCAATACCGCACTTCACTACGGGAGATATCGCAATGGATGATGCACACAGGACAGGTGCCCGACTTTCGTGCTTGGTAGAAAAAGGCAAATAAACTACATCGAGCTGTCACTACATGCCCACCCAAAAGACAGAGAACGGCCAACGCTGGCAACGGTGTGGGGGAGCAGCTGGAACTCCCGGGCACCGCCGGTGGGAGTCTGGAGTGTCCAGCCACTTTGGAAACCGGGCACGTCTACAGAAGCTGAATGGACACATACCCTGTGTCACAGTAAGTCTCCTCTCAGACAAACACCAACAGAAGGCACCATCTGTCCAGCAGAAGACATGCTCGAGAGCGTTCATGGCTGGATGGGATCGTGGGGCGGCCATTCGGTCCCTGCCCCAAGCCAGCACGGAGGACATTGACAGGGAAGAGGCAGAACAGAGGTAAGAGAGGACAAGAAAGAGAAAAGGAAGACAGACAGATGTCTACCAGCCGCCGAGGCCCTGGGGGCAGGTTACTATTCTCCACGTACAGCAAACGCGACCGGACTGAAAAAGAAGCCATGTGAATGAGTGATCAAGGCAGCCAGGCGCTCAGCTTCGGCCACGCGGAGAAGGGATGAGAAACTCCTGCCCCCGGTCCTGGCTGAGAACTGTGATTTTCTAAGTGTTTTCAATCCCGGGAAACTTAGATTCAAGCAAACTCTCAGGCTGAATCGGGGTGAATCAAAAGGACAAAGTACAGGGGTTCTGGCTGACCTGAAGGCCCTGCCTCCTAGGCCGCCCCCCAAAGCGAGGCCCCCACTGGGATGACCCCAACTTGGGCAGGTATGTATCTGCCAACCCTAAGTATCCTGTAGATGGGTTCCCCCGTCCCCCCACCCCAGCTCCCAAGGCCCCTGGACTCACCCCAGCTCTGGGCCTAGACTATACCAGCCCGTCATAGAGGGACAGAGCCTGCACGATGGACGGGTCCGCCTTGGACCCCTCCTGGAACTCCTGCAATGTCAGCTTGCCGTCGGCGTTCTGTAAGCAGAGAGAGGCGCTTAAGGCAGAGGGACAAGCAGCCCCCTGGCCCCTGGCCCAGGACCGGTCCCAAGAAAGCTTCTGAAGGCGGGTCAGGAGGAGGGCAGGGCAGCTCGCGAGGCGAGACGACGGACCAGACACTTCGTGGCTGGGTGACCTGGGCATGCGACCCACTTCTCTGAACCCCTGTCCCTCGTCTGGGAAGTAGAGACAGTTGCAGAGCTTCCTCGGGCGCTCCAGCTGCGCGAAGCGCTTGGCAAGCGGGAGGCGCCCATAACTCCCGAGTTATCACTGCTATTAATTCTCTAAATGGTGGTTGATCCCAAGGGCTCGGAGCCTAATGCGTGTCTTGGGGGTCATCCTGGGAAGGGCATTTAAACGGTTTCTGGAGCATTTAAATGGAGCCCGGGAGACGTGGGAGGAGGTGAGCAGAGCTCACGCTAAGGGACTTCAGAGGGCTCCCAGGGGAGGGCTGGTCTGGGCCAGAACCCTTCCCCTGGAGCAGCCAGAGCAAAAGAAAAAGGCCTTGGGCACCCCCCACGCCTCCCACCCCCAGAGGGGAAAGCGTGACAAGGGGTCCAACCAGCTCAGCAGGCCGCCCTCCTGGCTCACCTGCCACGTGCCCCCCCATGCCAAGTGCATGCACTTGACCTCATAGGGTCCTCACGGCCACCCTCAGAAGAGGTGATGCTCTTATCCCCATTTTACTGACGAGGACACTGAGTCTGGGTCACCTACCCAGGGTCCCACGGCTGGTGAGCAGGGAAGCCAGCACCCACACCCAGTCTGACTCCAGGGTGGCCTTGGTTTCCCAGAATGAGTGACGTATGAATCGGGAGATTTCAGGAGTGCGTGGCCTTGAACCAGCGCACGAGAAAGTGAGTGTCCTCGCTGTACCCTCCGGACGCATCGTGTGGTTTTTACAAGAGACCAGCGTCGCGGAGCCCATGTGTGTCTGGACCTCTGACGGCTCCCTTTTTCAGTTAGGGAAGGATGGCCTCGGGCTCAAAGCTTCCAGGGCCAGCGCCTGTATCCAGCCAGAATGTCGTCGTCGCCCCAACGTCACTGTAATTCGTAAGCCGAGCGATACTGTGTTTCCTTAGCTCCCTGGCATCAAACTCCCATTTGAAACAAAGTTATTCCAGGTTAAAGAAAGTCTGTTAGGGAGGGTTTCCTAACCTGGGGTCTGTGGATGGGATTCAGCAGGTCTGTGAACTTGGGGAAAAAATGAGGTCTTTCTTTTCACTAACCTCTAACTGAAATTTAGCTTTTCCCGTCACTGATGAACCAGGTGACGATCCCCAACAGAACCGGCAATACCTGTGACATTGTCAACCGTGGGAATCACGGGGACTTTCATGACATATCATGGCTGCTGCGGGCATCACATACCCGTATCACCGCGTTGAAAACGTGGGGTGGTTACACCCAACGCTGCAGCTTCTTTAACGCGTTCATAAAGAAACTCCTATAACACCACAGCACAGATTCTTTTAAAAAATATTGTGATAGCTGTACTCCGAAACACTTAGCTTCCTTTTTGATCCTGTGGATTTATTTGATGCACTTAAAACAATCATTCTGAGAAGTTCATACACTTCGGAAAGCCAAAGGGGTCCAAGGAAAAAATTTAAAACGGTTAAGAATCTTCATTGAGAAATAGGAAGTGTTATTAGGCCAACTTACTGACAACTCTGGATGTTGGACAAGGATGGCTGCCGGCTGGACCAGTGGTCCACAGGTGGTCAGTGGCATTTATGGGAGAGGCGAGGGGTCTCCGCTCTCCGCCAGCTGGGACACAGGCCACGCTCCCCCCTGCCCGAGGCCCAGCTCCATCCGAGTCTCACCTTGTCCATCATGGCAAAGATGCGGTCCACTCTCTTCTCAGGCGTGTTCTCCTCCTCGGGGAGCTCCACGGTGTTGCCCTGCCAGGAAGGTCAAGGTCAGGGCTGGACTCCTCCTGGCTTCGGGCTCTTGGCCAAAATTTGCCCTCCAGACCTGGGCCGGTTCCAGATGAGGACCGCCCAGCTCTCTCGCTCCCAATGCCTGGCCGTCTCTGCCATTCTATTCTGGAACATGCCACCTGCCCCAGCTCTGCTACCACCCCAGCCCCGACCTGCCTCCCAAGATGGAGATGTGCAGAGTGACCCCAGGCAGGAGCCCTCACCCGGCCACCTCTCAGCCCAGGCACTAGAGAGGGCTGCGCGGAGGTGGTTCCCCCTGGTCAGGCCAGGTCACTAAACTGGTTGCCCCTCTCACCACTCCCTACCCCATGGGACCCGGGCCTCTCACCACCATCTGGTAAATGGCGTCCACAATATCCAGCATCTCGTTCCTGGTGATGTAGCCGTCGTTATCCAAGTCATAGAGCTTGAAGGCCCCTGCGATCAACCAGCCAGGGCGGAGTCACCCCGGGCCCACCTCCCTCCGCCCTCTGCATCTCGGTCTGCAGTCGGAATCTACAGCCCACTACCGATGCGGTCCCCAAATAGTCACATGAGGACGGACCGGGATGGACACACACGTGCACGCACGCACCATTTCAACCAGGATTATGAAAAAAACAAACAAACTAAAAGTGAGAAGGGGCATCGGTGAGAGCCACGGCCTCGGAGGCTGCAGGTGAGGGAGGGAGGACCTAGGTCCAGGAGGAACCCCACGCCGCCCCCTCCCTTCCCGTGCTCCCGCCTCTGCCGCCTCTCAGCCCCTCCCACGTCCACAGTGACTGACTGTCTCCCTATGGTGGACTAAGAAAATGAAACAACACGCCCAGCGGAGGGCGGAGGTTTTGCATGAATAAAATCCTCTTTTACTCCTAAAAAAAAAAAGGAAAGAAAAGAAACTAAAAGAAACGCAAGCCACCGCGAACATCCATCCCCGTGAGCCCTGAGTTCTGGCCCAGCTGTCTCCGTCCTCTCTCCGGCTCCCCTGTCGGGCGCCCCAGGTCCAGCAAGGGCCTGCACGGTCTCCCCGCTGCGTGCTTCTCTCGTCCCTCGCTCCTCAGGGCCTCGCACACGCTGTTCCCCTGCCCGGAGCCCCCTTCCCTCCTTCCCTCCTACTCCGGCCTGCTCCCCGCCCACGGTCACAGGGTTCCTGCCTGGGGTTCCGCTCCTGCCGGCTCACACCTCCCTCTTCCTGTGTCAGTCGCAGCTTTATGGGATTTCAAAAAAAATAATGTCCCCACAGTAGACTGACAGGCAGGAGAGCAGGTGCCTGTCTGTCTGATTCGCCCGTGGATGCCTGGCCTCCGGCCCCGCACAGACACGTGGCCCTGTGCGGTCAGTATCTGCTGGGCGAACAAGCGAATGAATGAGGTCAGTCATCATTGCCTCTTCCTGTGTCAGTCGCAGCTTTATGGGATTTCAAAAAAAATAATGTCCCCACAGTAGACTGACAGGCAGGAGAGCAGGTGCCTGTCTGTCTGATTCGCCCGTGGATGCCTGGCCTCCGGCCCCGCACAGACACGTGGCCCTGTGCGGTCAGTATCTGCTGGGCGAACAAGCGAATGAATGAGGTCAGTCATCATTGAAACAGCGACTTTCTCAGTGGTGGCCCCAGCATGGGCCCCAGGCTATGGGTCTTGTAACTCGGCTGCACTG